ATAAGAGCAAAGCCATATGTTCTTTTACTATAGAAAAGTGGTTATCAAATCAAATTTTTTTCCTGTGAATAATTAGTTCTTTGCATTTTATAAAACTCATTTGTTTTAGGATAGAAACTTTCAAAAAAAAACGGGGGGGGTAACCTGATTGCCACGTGATTTTAATCGGGTCAATGTCCTTTTTTTATAGGTTAAAAAAACAAACAAAGAAAGAAAAAACCAGGTCAAATGTTTCGGCTATGCTGAAATGCTCTCTTTAAAAATGTACGGGCCACTGGTCAAATAGAAAAAAAACTGTATGTATGGGCCAAATTTTTGAACCCATTAGCTGGGCCTCTTCCGACTCTTACCAATGGTCATGGCCTAAAGAAAACTCTAACCTTGTCTCGAATTATCAGTATTCTGTTTTTTTTTTTAATTACAATTATTTGGCATATTCTCATTCTTCTTCTTCCTCCTTTTGATAAAAAAATAAAATGGCCATACTCTCATTCCAATTAGGGTATTGTCCATTTAAATCAGGGCTACAGTCCCAACATAATTTTTTTTTTAATTATCCGCAAGTTTTCCTTTTCCCCCTTCGTTTGTTTAACAAGAGGGCTCATGGCCCTATTACATATATTAAATTAAAGTAATGGACAATAACACGTATTACGTATCATTCTCTCCTGAAATTAAAACATGAATTCAGTTTTAGCTATTTTTAATAAAATATTTGTATTCCTTATTTAAATAATATGTAAATATTAAATAATACACATGCACTAACTCATGTCATAATTTTTTTTAAAAAAAAAACTACAATAGACTAGAGACGAAGTATTCAAAAACAGTGAAAAAGGAAATGAAAAGATAAAAGTCATTGCCTTGGTTTGCATCCAAGCGCGGATCGGAATTTAGTTCCAATCCGCAAAAAAATATGTGAATAAATAAAAGAACAATAATGGACGGGGCATTTGCTGCTCTGTGTGTGTTAAAAGTTTCACATTACTTAAATAAAAAAATCTCCTAGTGTATAAATATTATGGAATGAAGTGAGTTAGTAAAATGAGTTTAGAGGAGAAGTGGGCTCGCGCGCATAAGATAAACCAACTCAGGGCAATCGTCATTGAAATCAGCTGATTCGCCCCCTGCTTGCAAAGAGGCACTGGATTCTTTTAATTTACCAAAAAATCTCAGTTTTTTGCTATTTAGAGTTTGAAATCAAACCATGAATGTTTTTTGGCCATTAACCAGATCGGACTAAACAGCTTTCCAGCCTCTTGAACTTTCAAGGCATTCTTCTTCTCCTCTTTTGCGTTTGCATTCATTTGAGTTTTCTGTTAGTACTGTGGTTCCTTGCTCTTATTACAAAAAATATTTGCTTAATCTTGGAGAACTACCGGTCCATCATCCTAGTATGCCAAAATAATTCTTAAGGATAGTGTCCTTTTCGGACACAACTCAAGCAGCTTGCCATTTACGTCCATAATCACAACATTTGCTACTCATGTGAATGTGGCAGCTTGTGGAGGTCTTCCTTGAAACTCTATGGGGCAGTTCATCTCTACTTTCGATCGTCATCTAGACAGGGGTACAGTCTTTCAATGGAGATTACGGCTTATGTGCAAGGACTTAGAATGGCATGGGATCTGGGATACAGGAGAGTGATTCTTGAAATGGATTCTACGGAGACTTTGGAGGTGCTAAGCTTAGGTTCTACAGTTGAGCATGAAGATCATGTCACCATTGAGACAACACAAGAGCTATTGAATCCGATTTGAGAGGTAAAAATGCAGCACGTGCCTTGTGAATTTAATCAAGCGGTAGATTCTCTTGCTAAGTGGTGTCTTTCTAGTCTCCCTAGATTTCACGCCATCAATCAGACTCCTCATAGGCTTAGGCTATATTTGGTATGATGGAAGAGTTTTTAATGGAATCAGAATCAGAATCGGAATTGAAATTGGAATAGAATTAGATTTAAAAGTGTGTTTGGTATGATGATGGAATCCTGATATAATTTTAATAAAATATAAGTACTTAAAATAAGAAAAGACTAAAGTGTCCTTTTTTAAAATTAAAAAAAATTATATTGAAGGAGAGAGAAGGGGCAAACTGGAGAAAGGGAACCATAGAATTGGATTCCATAATGCATGTGATGGAATTGAATTCTGTCAAATTTTCTTGAATTATGATTTCAAAAAATCATAATTATTGCATACCAAACACACATGTTAACAGATTCCATGATTTCTTTCTCCATGATTTCAAGCTACCAAACGGGGCTTATTCAAGTTCCTCAGTCTGATTGCAATGGGGTTACTGTTGACGCCAGACTAGTATGCCTTATCTTTCCTTTGCTTATTAATATATATATATATGTATGTATATAAGAATAATAGTGAATATAAATTTTAATGCGAGTGAATAATTTTATTCCATAGCCAAAAAAAACCTGAATAATTCCATTCCACCTGTCAATAAAATGAAGATAAACATTTTTTTCTTTCTATATTTATAGTTAATAAAAATAATGTGAGTGAAAATAAAAAGTAACAAGTGAACATTCCTTATCATCGAAGCTCAAGATTTTCTTAAAAAATAATAGAATAATATTTTCCTGCTATAAATTATAAAATCAAATAAATAAAAAAAAACCTTAAAAAACTAAATCGGGTCCTTGATCTTTTTATTTATTTATTTATTTTTTTGGATAAGGGTCCTTAGTCTGATTGTTATGTACCTTAAGTTGGGCCAAAAACAGTTTGTTTCCCAATTGCGTGGGGCGAATTATAGACCAAGTGACCAGTACCACTGAATTCATGCGTTTTGTAACTCGGGCTTTAGTTGAGACTGGACCAAACGTCCAAAAAGGCTCAAACGCTTAACCTCACTTTTTTATCAATGTTTAAAGACTAAAAAAGAATTGTGGAAAATGAAATGTAAAACTCGAACAAGGATGAGTTTATTTTTATTTTTCAAACAATAAAATTGATCACTAGCGTGGTCCAAAACTAGGAACAAACCAAAATTGAAGTAATGATGATGCGAAATATATATATATATATATATGAATAAAGGCGATCGAGAAGAAATAAAATAAATGAAAAGACTAGTAAAATCTTCCGTTCAGAAACCACGAATGTTACTCTATGTTTAAGCCAAATAAAGTCACTATCGTTACAATAAACAATAAGTATAATTGACCTGAAATCATCTGACCAACGTCAGGATTATACTATATTATATCAATACTTGATGTTATGTAGGACAGGGCGAGATTGAAAAATACGGATATCTGTGAACCAAGTAGACCCATCCCACACTAAAACGAGGCCCGTCCAAGACGGAGAGTGACAGCGACCCCATACTGCACCATCGTTCCCTGGAAAATGTATGCATAATATCTCAAAAGAATTGTATCCAGTGCCACCATGTTATACAGCCCTACTTAAAAAAGAAATACCCTCCATTTAATAACATAAATTTACACTTAGTATTAAAAAAATGAAAAGGATAATATTAAAATAAATTTATTTGATAAATTACGTATGAGAGTAGCCCTGGTTGGGGGCAAAGGGATCTCTCCATTTTTTCTCCCTCACTTTCCTTCATTTCTCCAATACTTTCTATTCATTAATTTTATCATTTAAAAAAATTATTTAATAAAATAATTTGAACGATGAAGATTAAAAAAAATGAAAGGAAATGGAGGGGGAACCTGGGTGGAGAGCGGGGAAAAAAAAAAAAAAAAATCTCGCATAATAGTCCGAGGGAGTGCCGTGAGGCGTCGGTAAGAGAATAAATGCACTTCGTTAATGCACCACGAGGCTGCCTTCGTTTTTCTGCCCACGTGGTGGCCCCGTGCTCGAAAGGCTGGCCAAGCTTTAAGTTTCTGTGGTGGAATCCAAAAATTACAGCCACAATCATTGAGGGAGGCGCAGCTCAGATCGGGGGTTAATTTGGGCAACGTGGTCTTAATTCTGGTAACAGTCAGAGTGGGGATACATGCGAATTGAGAGAGAGAGAGAGAGAGAGAGAGAGAAGGTCAAAGGCGTCCCCCGTGGGCGGGTTTCCCAGACGCTCCCGCGAAGCTTCTAGGAGCCCTTCTCCAGCGTCCCAACATAAACTATACCTTTCACCTCATCAACTACCTCCTCTCGTCCATTTTTCATTCCCCTTCCTCCACGCAACCTCAAATTACTCCCATCCTCTTTTCTTCCCCAACTCAATTTACTCATGTCCTGCAATTACACATGTGATATAAGATATGGATAACTATTTCACAAATTTAAAAGAAATTACTTGAAATTTTAATTTTTTTAAAAAACATTACACATCTTTTTAATTATATTATCATTAAATACTATATATAAGTGCCTGCACAATGTGCTTTGAATTTTAATGCACCATGTTTTATTTAAAAAAAAAGAACAATTACAATGTCTCCATTTCAAATTTTTTAAATACCATCAACGTTGAGATTGGAGTTATTCGAGGTTCCACTTGATTCATGCATTTTAATCATGTTAGTTTTTATAAAGATTTTTCCCTCGCAATTTTGTATATGGAGAAATTTGTTGAAGGTCAAATTATTCATTCTCATTTTTTAAAAGACTTTTAATTAATAAAAAAAAAGTCTATCGAAGTGAATAAATTACATCATCCAAAGGTCAATCTCCCTCTGGCCAAAAATAAAAAATAAAAAAAAAATTTGCCAATCTCGTTTCAGAATAATAGATGAAACAGTCAAAACATAACAAGTGTTGGTTTGTTTCCGTTCAAGTGTTTCTTCGGCAATTAAAGAACCTCCGTCTCCTTCCCTCCCGGAGATAACGAATTTTTGTGGCTATTCTCCAGGCCACACATGGTTTCTGGTCACAAATTTTCTCTTTTATACATGACAGACATTCTTGTGGACAATATCATCCACAAGAAATTATTCCTGTTATATTCTTCAACAATTTTGTGTTCCGTAATTTCTTAATTTACTGCAAGATAGTTAAATCGAATACAACCACTAACGTAACAAGGGTACTCCATTAATTCACTCCCTTCTATTTTTCTCGAGTTATTTTTCCATACAAACATACACATTCCCATTACTGCATATAGTCTGCATAGACTCCTGATGAAGTGACTACATATACATACTTAACTATATATGTGTGTGTGTGTGTGTATGCTGCCCACTAAGTAACCTAGGTTTAAATTCAATGCCCTGACATTTCTGCAATTAATTAATAAGCGATCCGGCGCTCCACGGAGCGTAGTTCTTAAAAATACTCCCAGCTTTTTAGGGGCGCGATCAAATCATGAAGCCTCTGGTACACCCTTGTGGTTTCTACACCAACCCTTGATATTTTCACCTGCAAAACACATCATGATGAAGTCACATTCCATAATATTCACAGTCGTGAAAGAGAAAGCCAATTAATGAGTTCTGAAAATTGAAATGTGAAGTGCTCTATTCATTGGAAGATTCTGGATTTGATAATTACCTGGGCATGAACAGTGTGGAATATCTTATCACCCACAGTGGAAAAGCTAGCGCTCACAACTTCAGCTCCTTCTTCTTCGAGGACGCTGATTACTTCATATAACATGAAGTTTCTGTTCAAACCACTGATCAGCATCACCTCTATGCTGGAACCCAGGTCTCTCAGCTCAAGCAGTGGCAGATTGGAAGCCATCAACATGCTCTCCATTCCCAGGTTACTGTTTATTTCCTTTAATTTCATGGCCTCCTCCTTCTTCCCCTTCAGGTTCTCCAGTTTCTCCCTCAGAGTCTTTATGTAGCTCGCTGCGATGTCCAGCTGGTCTTGCTGAGATATCATTTCCTGTAATGAAATTCATTCACGAATAAGCGCAAAATTTCACAGAACATGTTTAGTTAGATGAAAATGGGAGAGAGATAGCTAGAGGGTGTGTCGACCTTGGTGTGTTTTAAGTAGTGGGGAGGAATAAGAGAAGCGAGCTTGAAGCAAAGAGCTTTCATGTGAATTCTGCGATTCCTTTCTATGGTTTTTCGATCCACTTTTGAGGAAGAGTCACTACTCGCTTTCTTCATTTTTTTCCCCCCTGGATGTGAGAGAACAATATTTCTCTACCTTCCTGATCGGGTTTGTGCGATGCAGAAGCAATTTGAGGGTCGTTCTCCAAATTGGCAAGAGCAGTATCGTTTATATAATTAAAGGGAGGGCGGGGCAGGCTTTTGAATGACCGAAAAGCCCCTGAAAGTGACGAATAAACTTGGATTATTTTAAATTGAAATTTATCAAAATGCAATTGACCTATGACCAGTGTAGCATACCATATGTAATTTATCATTTGATGTTTAACACTTCTAATAATTAAAGAGGCGAAATTCGTGATTATTTATAAGTTTTTCTCAGAGATGAATGGTCTCTTATCTTTTCCTATCTAATTATTTCATTTGAATCAATAGTATGAATTAATCATTTTCAAGTGGCCGGGACACATTTCTGTTCTATCAAGTTTAACATACGCATAACGTACATGAATCTTTTTTTTTTTTTTTTTGGGTTTCTGTAACATGCAAAAAGGAAATAAAAGAAGAGATGAGCTCACGTGAATATTTCAGAAAAAATTGAAGAAATTAAATCCACGTCAAGGATGGGGGGCCCAGTTGATTCCTCTCTAAGAGTCTAAGACACAGAGATGTGGACCATGTGGAGGGTGTTGCGTGGCAAAATCCTAGAGGCAAAGGAGGCCTAATTGGCTGACTCTTGACCTCGTTCTCGTTTTGACCGTTGGATATGTTATTTACTCTCCTCTCAGAAACCCGCGCTTCCACCGACCACTCACATTCTTTCCTTCTTTCTTTCTTTTTTCCTTTTCTTAATCAACTGCCACTCACATTCTTTCACTTGCTTCTTTTTTAAGACCATATCACTTTCTCCCATTGGTCAATAAACCTCTTTTACTACGACTTCTTGTCTTCTTCATATCATGGTATCTCTCCGTCCTATTTTTAAGATATAAATAAAAATATTGTTTTATTCTATTTTATAAATTATGTTATTAAATTTTTATTTTTATTTTTGATTCTCACTTGATGTCGATGAAAGAGTGTATATTAGTATGCATGAAGTTAGAAATTTATTAAATTTTAAAATAATATTAATGAATTTTAAATTTTTTTCTTAAATTTAATGAAATATATTAAAATGATTTATAAATAAAATTAATTTAATTATTTATATAATACCCCATGCAGGGGTGCTTTTTATTTACCCAACCTCCAATAATGTGTATTTTAATCATCCTGTTTTCTTGTATACCAAATCAACTCTTTTCTAAGTCAACGCATCAACTCCATCACTTTTCTTCTTCTTTTTTAAAATTAGTAGTTTTATTTGAATCTGTTTTCCTTGTTCCCACCACATACGTACCCTTTTTTTTTTTTAATTATTCCATCAACGCTTGACTTTTGATCTATACAAACATGTTACTCTGTTCCTCCAAAGTTAACTCTTTTATTATATAGAATGTAGCATAATATCGATAATGATCCTATCAAATCAAAATTTTGATAATGGCGCGCATCTTGACATTTATCTGATAAAAAGTAAAAGCAAACTAAAACTTCAAGCGTTATGCTACAATTGAAGTATGAAGACAGGGACAGATCAAGGAGAAACTTGGCGGGCCTTGTATTAATTAAATAGGATGTGAGCATCTACATTCAAATGTAGGAATTGTCTATGCAATTTTGCTTTCAAAATTTAAATTTTAAACGGCAGCTTGTTCAGAGACTGAAAATTCAAATTGGTCATTCTCAATTTAGTCAGTTTTCAATTAATAATATCATGCGAGCGTATTGCTATTTGGCTCTGTCATTTGACCTCTTTTTAAAAAAATAAATTCTTAAGCCGAATTAATATATAGATTAATGAAGGTCTGCATTTAATTATGTTCATGATGACTTAATTCACAACTATAACGTTGTAGAACGCAAGCAAGAGAGGGGAGCCGAAATAAACCGTCCTTTCTGCACATACCCATTTCAATGTCTAATGTATATTATAGTTTTGGATTAAGAGTTACTTTTATTTGAACTTTACTCTTAAGATTTACATGTATCTAAAACCCGATTTAAATCATTTTTATGCCTAGACTTTCCAAAAACGCTACTTCACCATCCCACTGTTAACACACCATGACATTCATTCTTTATGAAATAAGTATCATCATTTTTTTATAATAAAATATTCGATCCATGATCACTTTTGCTTTTAAACTTGTTTCTTAGGATTTGTGATTACCCCAAACTTTTGTTTTAGGATCCGTGGATACTCTAATTTTGAAGGTAAAAGTAATCTTTAACCTAATATTTTATGATAAAAAATGGTGGGACTCACCCTACCAAAGGCGGACGTTATGCATGTTAACGGCACAGAGACACGGCAACGCACTTTGAGCATTTGGAAACAAAAATGACTCAATATCAAGTTTAGGGGCAAAACTGACTTTTAATTTTTTTTTTTTTGGGCAATCATTTTATTGTGTATCATTAGATGACAAATTATTATTGTGATGAATGAATTAAAATAAGCAATTTAAAAAAATATAATTTTTAATCCTTATACTTGTTTTGATATTTTAGATCCTTACATTTTTATTTTTTGATATTCTGAATCCCTAAATATAAAGACTTATAATAAAACTTAAACCAAATATAAGAATTAAAAGTTATATTTTTTCTTTAAAAGATGTATAACCATGTTGTTTTCTTCAATATTAATTGGCATAGAGCACACGCCAAATGGTGGATCCAGCTATTCTACATTTTGATTTCAATAGAGCTATGTCTTGAGAGTTTTAATTGGAACCCGGACTTCCAGTAATCAGTTTCCATGTATCTACTCAACGCCCCAGCAAATTCTCGTACGGATTTTGCCATCCTGGACTCGCGCGTGTTTCAGTATCACGGTCCACAGGTGGCTTCAAAGATTACTTTTCATTAAAAAAAATTAAAATTAAATTGAACCTGGGCTAATCAACTAGATTTCATCCCCCTACGATATATAGGAAAATAAAAAAAATTAAAAAATTAAAGTGAATATTAATTTGATAATTTTATGAAAAGACAATAACATTAACATGTAAAATAGAATTTTATAAACAATCATAACTTATTTATATAAAATATAAACAACTGATCTTAGCAATAATTTTACAAAATATATAATTGTACATATAAATGACAATAACATTTTAGCTCTGTAAGTATCTTTATAATGTTATTTGAATTTAGAGGTATGTTTTTATTTTTAATAAATTTTTGAGACCCAACTCACCTAAATTTTTTTTAATAAAAAAATACAGTGACATCCTCTACATTTTATCTTAAGCATAAATGTCTCTATTTTATTTATAAAATCAATAAAAACTTTCATTAAATCGACAGTGATAAAACACAAACCTTTTTCTATGCTATTTCATTTCCATCCATCAAATTGCTAGTTGTCAATTACATGTGTTGAATCAAAATATCTTCATATATTTTGGTAGAAAAAAATATCTATTTAAACATGGATGTTTACTAAAATTCATCCAAGCTATGACATATAACCATAACGGTAAAAACAAATATAACTATATTTTTTATTCCCCTTGCATTGAACGGGATATTTTTAGTTGTTAAAAGATAAAATAAATAATTTTTGTATAAAAATGTAAGTAATTTATTTATTTATTTACTCATTCTATTAAAAAATGCAAGATATTTTTTGAAAGATTGGATATTAAAAAATATAAAATATTTTTAGTGTTTCAATATATAATTAATGTGTTTTTTAAAAGTGTCCATAATAAATAAATTACTTTATATTTATTTTAAAATGAAGCATCATATTAAATAACGGTAAGTATAAAAAAAAATACTCCCTCTAATCCTATTTATAAATTACTTCCAGCATATGTTTCACTAGAATTAAGAAAAACTTTAAATTTCATTAACTTTATCTTAAAATTTAATAAATTTTTTACCTTTATTCCTAATAAATACTCTTAAGTCTTATTATTAATATTTTTATTCAAAGTATTTAACAAAGGTAAAAATGTAAAGATAAGCATTGGGAATTAACAAGTGTTTTATATATAGGATTAAATTTTTTCTTCTCTCTGTCCTGTAAATAAGATCATATGAGTATTATATTAATTTAAAAATAATTAATCACTTTTATTGAGGCGTGTTAGTCTAATTATATTAAATATAGACACCAATTTATTTTATTTAATAAAACGTCAGACTCATCTGAATAGAAATTCTAAATATCCCTATTTTCAAGGAATTGTGAATATTTAAAATATTAATAAAACCTTGCTTTATTGAAGAAAATTTGACCCCATACAAATTAAAATTAAGATAACAATATTATTTCCCCATTTCATGAAGGATTTATTTATCATTCTCCCTATGCATAAAAGGTGTGTTTTCACATCTTCATATGTATAGTTAACTTGCAAAGTAGTATGAAATGTTATAAGGATACCTTTAATTTCTTTTGTTTTTTTTGGGGGGGGGGGGGGAGTTGTAGAGAGACAAGCTAAAATTGGCCAGTAGAAGTAAGTTGAGTCCAAATAGCAATTTGACTCAAATAATCAAAATCAATGTAGAGTATAAAAACTCTCAACAATCCCGATTGCTGATTAACTATCAAAGGTGCAGTAAAAGTATGCGCTAAGGGCCCGCACTTTCACCCGAAAACAAAAACATAAAAATTTTTTAATTTTATTAATTTTATCTTAAAATTTAATAAGTTGTCAACTTTATCTTTAATAAATATTCTTAAATATTATTATTAATATTTTTATTCAAAACATTTAATGAAAGTAAAAATGTAAATATGAGCATTGAAAATTAACAAGTGTCTTATAAATAGAATTAAAAATTTTCTTCTCTTTCTACCTTATAAATATAAACAAAGGAGTAGTTATTTTATAAATTAGGGTTGGAATTGGTGTTCAATGGACATTAATTATGATTATGTACGTTTGATGACACATAAAACTTGGATAAAACTACACCTTAAAGGGGTGTTGTTTTTTTTTTGGGGACAAAAATAGGGTGTTGTTTATGACAATAATTATTATAAGTGATTATTGAGATGGATTGA